ACCCAATATCTCTTTTTTTGTTAAGCTTGGAGAATACAACAAAATCATCTGCACTACTTGAAGACTCCATTTTGTATTGTTTTGCAAATAATTTTACAACAGATTAAATAAAATGCATCAGATTCCGTGTGCAAGGTTTGTGTGCATGAGAATTTTTTGGAATTTGAAAATGAAAAACAACACATACGTAAGAAAATTTCAGACTTTAGTGTGGAAAAACCTTTATTCTGCTTCTTACTACCATGATAATAAGTTTTGAAAACTTTAGCTCATCCCTGAACATGATTTTAACTTGATGCACACTTACAGGATTTATTAAAGATGACAACTCTCATGATTCCAAACTCAGTCAATGCATCATCAAACTACGCATTTTTACTTGTTGCAAATACATTTCTTTTAGTGGCCAAAATCACAAACTGTGCCTTTAGTAATCGCTAAAGTGTTAGTGATATCTACTTACTACTGAGCATAACTTTTATCCTAATATCTCTTTCTGTCTTGTTTTGCAGCTTAATCACTACGGGAGAGGATGGGAACCTCTGATACCCAGGGCATCTGTAGCCCTTTACCTGGGGGGAAGGGTGATCTAGCAGGGGTGGGAGTCATACGGCCGACTGGACCCCTGTAGACCGGGTGGGAGGGAAGTGTTAGCTGAGGCGCAAGTCGACGACACCACGCCAAGCCAAACCAAAATAGGGAGGAAAACTTTTTCACCATGTCATAACAATCAGCCATAAGGGTGAAATTAAAAAAACAAAACATTGTTAGCGTTCTTTCACCAGGGCACTTAATGTAACAAGGACATCCAGGGGTTTAAAAAAACAAAACAAAATCAATGACACGAAGATTTCTGTAAATTCTGTAGGGTTGCACTCCTGATATAGGAAAGTGCCTAGAGATGAGCTCCGAAAGCTTCAAAAAGCAGAGGTTTTGTTTATTTATTTTCTGGACTGTGTAGAGGGGGTGGGTGTGACGTAAATCTCAACTGGACTCTAAGCATTAGTCCTATGCATGGGGTGATGTAGGGTTTAGCTCGACTGCATGAAAGCGTGCAGACCATGTTTTGTGTGCCAGCTATGCACAGCAGTAGACAGTAAATTTTAAAAGACAGTTAAATGCTAAAAACATACCATATTTTTAGGCTCTCCGTCTAAAAAGTAACACAACGTAACTAGAAATCTAAGTCCTGTCATATCATCGATAGCGAAAGGGTTTTCATCTTTGCACATTTTTAGATCAGCAGTGATGCGAAGATAAAGGAATTAAAATATGAATGACTGCATAACCTTTCATTTTATTCTCTTCCGAAATTTGACTTGGTATATTAGGTTAGCATGCGCAGAGCAAGAGGAAAGGCTTGCGGTGAAAATCCAATCCGTCGATTAATACGAGGCTTTAATTCTCCAGAGTTTTCTGGTTTCCAGCAAATCCGAAACATATTTGTTTTTAAGGCATCGGCTATTTGTTTTTGATAAGTTTGCTCAGAGCATGATTTTGAAGTTGCTTGTAATATCTGTTTTGGCTGACCGGGTTAATCTGGATGTTTAGTTGTTTGATTTGTGCATGTTGGTGGCCCAGTGAGCAATCTGTTCTGTTTTCTAGCACCGCCTCGTATAGAATACTGCATTTTTTTTCCACACATACGCAATAGGTGACGTGTTTTCCATCTACATATTGCTTTTGTGACCGTTTGATTTAGTTTCGTTACCTCCTGCATGAAGTTTGATAAAAAACGTCCTGCGTTGTGTCGTTGTATAATCCTGGACCGTTCAGTGCTTGTGGAAGCAGTATTCGTGTCCCTCATGTGAACAGTAGCAAGCCTTAAAATGCCTGAATGTATCCCGGAGTGTGAGGATTTAGGTATTAAGAAGTTTCAATCGAAATCACTGCTGCTTTTGTCTGAGATGGACAAAACTGCTGCTCTGGATCGAAACCGAACTAGCCGAGAGATTTTAAGGATGTAAGCAGACAAGCGTTTTTATGGTTTTAGATCTGAACATCATGGGATACGGTCAGGTGTTTGTGAGCCCGTGTTGTGCTGGTGTATTTCCGCAAAGTGTTTTAATTTTTTTCTGTTTGTCTGTCACATTCCAGCTGTTTTACATTTGTAACCGATTAGAGAGGTCGGAGATTCTTCTGACTTAAAAAAAATTTAAAAATCGAGAAGAACAACCTAAGAAAGGAGATGTAGGCAGAAATTATGAATGTTAAGTGTCGTCTTACACTTATGAATGCTGCTATGTGTTGTAATTTTCTACTTGAATATTTTATGTTGTAGCGACCTCAGGAGGTATGTTTACTGTTGTTGTTTTTTTCTTTGGTGTTTTAATTTTTTTAACGTATGCCTTTCCCCATTGTTTAGTCTCTCATGTGTCATAATAATAATAATAATAATAATAATAATAATAGAGCAACTCACTGTAATTCATTCTGCTGCTGGTGAATATACTTTCTAACGGGCATATTTTTTTGTCACTCCGTCTCCTTTTGAAGGAATGTAAAACTTTTTTTTTATTAAAGGAGATATAATATCTGATAAAAAAATACTCATAGCTTCATGCAAGGATAAAATGGAAGAAACTGGCCCTCATGTATGTGAACACTTATTTATGAAATATGAATGCAGTATATACTGTAACGCCTTGAAGTTAAACATGGGGGATGGGGTAAACAAAAATGCAGCCATGAGACTTGGAGATTGCACAGTAATGAATCTACTTTTCTTTTCTTTTTGTGTCGTTTTCTTTTTGTGGAGATCAAAATGTTGTGTCCCCACCCCAGACTGCACCAACTGCTGTATAAGTTATATGTGTGGAAATTTAAGATACTGTAATGACGAAGGAAAACTTTGCTCAAAAGCTCCCTATTTCTGGTCCGAGAGCTGTTTCATTTATAGTGATTTTTGTTTTCTTTTGTAATCTGATTTTGAAGAAAGATTAAAAATATAGAAAGTAATCATTTTTAGGGGCCACCAAATATTTTGGATCATGCAAAAGAATATATATTGTACTGTAGAATTTTTGTAATGATATTTGTATGACATTGTTATGGACGTGAGTTTGTTTCACTGCTTGGATCTGTACATTGATAAGAATAAACCCTTTTCAAAAATCACTGATTATATTATTTGTCTGATAAATTGCAGAAGGTATTAAAAGTACACTGACAAGTTTTGAAAATGATGTGCACTGAAATTGAAGTTTTAATTGAAATCATCAGTACGAGTCACCTTTTAGACCAGGGTATCCCAAACTTTTCAGCCCGTGACCCCTAAAATAACAATGCCAGTGACTTGCGACTCCCACGTTTCTCTGATGTGGTTATGAATATACAAACAATAAGCATACAACAATAGGCTTAGATAAACATGAGCATAATGACAGCACAAAAAAGTCCAACAGTCTAACAGTCATATAATTTTTATAGTCATTTATTAATGTGTTTAGTTTAATATTAACCTTACCTAATGAGACTGGTGGACACAATGTTTTCAGCACAAGTCTATTCTTTGTTTAATTTTGGTGACTAATTAGGGATCATACTCAATGTTCAGTTGTGGCCTGTATTTATCTTTAATGTATTTGATTGCCATAAAGGTGTCTGAAAGTTTAACCTGGAGTTATAAAATCAATCTGCTGCAGCTGGCGCTATTGTTGTGTTGTTAATCTAACGTAAACACACCAATCCTATGAAAAAATAATAATTAAAGCCGATGGCTTTTTATTTGCATGTTGTTGTTTTTTATGTACAGTAAGTATTAACTACTATTTCTAACATCTTTTGTGGTTTATTTATGAAGTATGGTAATTATAATAGTTTAATAAAATTTACTTAACTTGAAAATCACCAAGGGACCCCCTCTCCTTGTCTCGTGACCCCCATTTTGGGAACCTCTGCCTTAAACCAAAGAATATGCACATGCTAAATAATTTATTTACATTTATTTTGTTTATTTAATTTTTTAACTTTATATGTCTGTGGATTTCAATTGCAAAACATTTTTGAGACCGTTTGATTAAAATAGTTTTATTGTTCCACACTCCAAATCCCTTTAGCAGAACTTACACTATAAGCTTGATGGTTTTAATGTTATCCATATTATACATGCATAATTTGCCTGATTATATACAAAATTTTATTCTACTGAAAAAAAAAATCTGGCTGTCCTAATAATTCTAATGTCATTTTTAATTTGACATTTGCTAGATAATTGTTTGGCTAGAAGTGTATGCAAATAGGTAAAAAATGCCTCATTTGCATATGTTTAACATAAAAATGCCTGCCAATCTTAATATCAATGACTTGGGGAAGCTTTATAATATTTTTTTACCTTTTACTCACCTGCTCACATGACTTAAAAGAATAGGTTATCCTAAAAATTACTCACTATTTGCTCATGCACAAATGGTTATAAACCTACATGAGGTTCTTTATTTTGTTATAAACAAAATAAGATATTTTGAGGAAAGCTGAAAACCTGTAAACAAGGACTTCCACTACGAAAGTAAAAAAAAAACAGCCTACTGTGGAAGTCAGTAGTAAAAGATGTCCAGTGATGATTGTTTTTGGGTTGGAAATCAGTCAAACATGTTTGGACCAAGTGAAAACTGAGTAAATGAAGACAGGATTTTCAATTTTAGGTGAACTATCCTTTTAAAGACTAATATTTATACATTACACTGTGGTCTTTTATTGACATGTGTAATATAATATTTAGTACCCTTCGTGGTAAAAGCCCACATGATTGTACCAGGAAAGAGTGTCCACCCACACTGAGGGTTTGAGTTTGACAGCGAGATATTTAAACAACACGATTGCATCATGGGAATTGTGGCAACTCGTCAAACCGCCACCGGCGTCGCTGTTTCTTCATAATAATTCCTCAATGAAATATACTGAACGAGGGGTGAAAAAAGCAAGGCAGGAGGTGGAGTCGGGTTCAGAGGGAGGAAAACCCAGCAGCAGAGCAGGAAAAAAGAGAAAAACCACCAGACACAACAACATCGGGGGGAGGACGGTGGATTAACTGTGCAAACTGAGGCGATTCACTTCAAGAACAACCGCCGCTGTGAAGAAGGGAGGACGGCAAGATGATAACGCCCTATTTCCTGGAGAATTTTTGGGTAGGTTGTTTATGCTGTGTTCTTTGCGGGTTAAAGACAACTCTTCAGCTCTGCTCCTCTGTCATTCCTTAAAATGTTGTGCTGTGCTTATTTTCTGAGGGTGCGTTACTTGTTTTGGTTCACACCGGCCCTTGTTGGGATAATACCGGTATAACATGATCGAGGCAAGCACGAGAGCGCCTACTGGCCTGTTGCCCCCCTCACTTTTCTGGGAGAAGACCGTCCTGCTAGACCGGGGATTGGGCCTCATTACATCCATCTGACATAGACAGCCAACGACGGTCCACCTCCCTTTCAATTCGATTGGCTGTCAGTCAACGTCTTGGAATGTTAATGACCCCATTCTGCATTCCCATTGGATGTTGTAGCTGTCAATCACACGGCTGTCCTGTGCTAGTTCTTCCGTGAAGTTATACCGGAGGCCAGAATATCTAATAATAATCTAATAGTTTAAAGGTGAATATAATTTAGGTATTCATGCGTGAGACGTGTAACAATTATCTTCCTTTCCCATTTATTAGACGCAGCATGGTGATTTTTGTTTCTGTTTATTTGCGTAAAGGTTAGTGCTGTCGTGGCTTTAAGCTCTGTTGTGATTACATTTTCATGTTTAAAGTTTTTCTGTCAGTTGTGATCTTTTGAAACATCTCTCTATTAGACATACTGCTTCCTCAAGGGACACATCACCAAGAAAAAAAAAACCTGTCGTCACTTATCCTCTCAGCATTCCACACCTGTATGACTATATTACAATGCAATGTAAAATCATATGTTCTGCAGACTTAAAGATTTAGGTCAGCTATGAATTAGCATGCCTTCATCATACACTCACCCTCACATTTTTACAGATTTATATGATGAAAAAAAGATGATATTTTATAGAGCGCTTTTGATCTGTCAGTGATTACCAGTACGTTTTGGTTGTCAACATTCTTTGAAATATCTTATTTTGCCTTCTGCTGAAGAAATAAAGTCATTTAGGTTTGGGAAAAGAGGAGTTTGAGTAAATAGAGACACATTTTATGTCAATTTAAGGCTTTATTAAGCACTAGTCCAGGCATGGGACGATAACTGTTTTCAAGCTATACCGTGGTTTGGAAATCTCAAGGTTTTAAAACTGTCTAACATTTCTGCTGTACCGTTCCTAAAGTGTGTGTAAGATTTTTTTTATTTACATTTTTAGGACGACAGTATCTCCAGCAGAAAATATATCCAAAGATGTGTTTTAGAAAGACAGCAGAAGTGAATTCTTTCTAATTATTTAGCCTGACATGTTTACTGCTGTAAAATATTTAAAATTATTCTCAAAATAAAATATCTTGTGTTTAAAGGAGAAAAAAGTTTTAGTTTTTTTTACCGAGACATTTAATTAGAATATATTTTTATAGCAGTAACCACAATACCATCAAGCCATGATATTATTATCCAAGGTTATCATACCGTCAGAATCCTACACCAGCCCATGCTTACACTAGTCTCAGTCTCTGTCCACTGCATGTTTTCTATTCAGTGAAAGGCTGACATTTCCTTGTGCATGCCACAGAGCTCTATCACTATCAAGGAACTATAAGTGTTCACGTATCATCATGCCAAGTTAATCTTTATTATCTCTCACATTCCACATCAATACCTGTTTCCCATTGATAGACGTCGAAATATCCAGCAATCCATTGCAGTGATAATGAACATACACCACCACGTTTGTGATCATTTTTACTTCAGAAGTTTTTCCTCAAAGCGTTTTTATAGACTATTTCAATGTGATTATGTTATTGGCCCATAAAAATTTCCTGCTTGTTGTCAAACTATTTCATAACTGTAACAAGAGGCATATCAATGATAACTTTACGTTAAAACACCTGCCATGGATTATTTATCAATATTTAGATTTTTTTTGGATTCTCGAAAGCTATGGAAATGAAAAATGTAATACAGGAAATTCGTTAGGACCATTGCAGTTGTTTACATCCCTCAAAATGGTCTATAAAACACACATTGGCTTATTTTTCTGTCTAATGGAGAAAATTATACAAAACTGGATGTAAGTGACACTATACAAGAAAAAAGACATGGTTCAAAGTACTACAGCAGTAAAGACAACTCAATTATCTGTTGTGTAATTAATGTTAATATAGTAATGGCTATTCTATATATGTGTATGGGTAAAAGATATATTTTTGTGCTTTGAAATCCATTAGTTAAGTAATTTTTTTTAAATAATTTATTACAATACAATGATAAAAAGAAAATATTCATGCCATGATACTTTGAAATCATCATAAGCCTATTCTCTTGTACAATGAAAAAGACGGAGGTTTTTTGTGATCATTAATTCATGGCATAAGTGACAGGACGTATAAAGCTCGATACAGCATGAAAGCATCCCGGAAGATTCCTCAGTTGTCATGTGATGCATATATGATCATGGTTTAACCATTAAACAGCATCTGACGTGCAGAAGTGTTGAGTTGAGCAGGGTGATATAGTGTGCGTTTGGAAGGCGTGACTGTAAAAACAGGAGATGGAGGAGATGAAGAGAGATGAGGCATCGCAGAGCTGTGGAGTCTTGTTCTCAATCAGGTCTTTGTGTCGAGCGAAACAGGGACGCCTATGATCAGCTGTGTGCTTGTAATTCAGAGCACAGACATATACACACACATATAGAGAAACGCTCCTTCAGTTCACTGAAGCTGTCAGACTTTTAATGAAATTAATGTCGGGAAGGTCAGACTGTCAAAATAGCGTTGTTATTAATCTGTCATGAGTCATGACATCATCATCATCATCATCATCATCATTTCTTGAAATTCATCTTCTCTGCCCTCCGGTTCTTAAAGCCCACAGGTGTGAAAGCCGCCCACAACAAAGACTTGTGTGACGGAAACCTCTTAGTCTCGTTTCCCACTGACAAACACTTTTAACCGCAGATTTCCTCTCATGTTGAACATCACTGTATGATTTCCCCCCCCTAGTGCACTTCTGAGCTTTGCTGATACATGGCATTCTCTTCTCTTGGTTTTGTTGGTGGATGTTCAGACTTGTTTTTTGTCAGATGAAGACACCTGCTTATGGAAAGCCTCTGCTTGAGTCATGCTGCAGATATTTCCTTTGAGATTCTCTCTAGGTCTGCGTGAAAGCTCATTGTTTTTAGATGTGTTTTTGTCTTTTTGTAAATGTCAGAGCAGTCACTGATCGTGTTCACATGCACGCCATTTACATGCATTCATTTAGAACCACTTACGAATGTGGAATGTCACAGGAAGATGTCAGATATGGAGTATTCATAAAATACTATGCCGTATTTAATAAAATCTGCTTGGAGCAAGGCAAAATTTAGAAAGGAACTGATTATTTTTTTTAAATATGTCTGCTGTCAATGTTCAAATCCTTTCTCTGAAAAAAAACATAATTTGCTTGGATATTCCTGATGATATTCTTGTAACTAAAATAATAACCTTTTAAAAAAGATTTTTATGACAGTTAACAAACAAAAGTAACAGAGGAAATAACAGTAGAAATAGAAAAAATATATTAAACAATCTACAACAGTACAAAATTGATTAAAAAGTATTAAAATAAACTGCTCTATAATCTTCATATTGTGCAACAAACAGTATATGATGTGCGTAAACAATATATGATGTGCATTCAATTTATAAATTAAGCATATTAACAGGTGAGTACTGAAAGTTAAGGTTTGCAGCATGTTGTATTAGGTAAAATAAATAATGATGATAATAAAAGAAAAAATAGAGAAAAAGTTAAAAGAGAGAGAGAGAAAACGGAAAATATTTTAAACTGAATAGGCTGTTCTCTAGTTTAATATAAAATAGGCTAAATCTAGTTTAATATAGTATGAAAGTATGTGAATTTTAGAGTAAAGTAGGATAAAACCTAACTGTCATTGGTGTGTAAACAGACTGCACGAGGGCACGATATTGGAAAAATGTAACAATGCAATATACTTTATTCTGCAATATATATGGCAACAGGAATCCAATTTCACTAGATTTGTTGAATAATTATTTAGAAAGAATTAGGCTATTTTAGATTGATTGGGATGATTCTGTAGGGAAGTGCATTTGCAAAAAATTATATAAAACAATCTTCAGGCATAGATTAATTCAATAAAGAAAAAGATACCGATTAATTAAACAGCGTTTGATTGTTTTCAGAGTCAATCTGTATTCAGTTATATAGTAAATCAATAATCAAATGTAAAATAATACCTCAGTCTTCGTTTTCTAAACAGTTCAATAAATGTAATCATTATTAATTTGTCAAAGTTATAAACGCTACAATTTCTTAAACCTGAATACTTTTTAAACCCTCACACAGTCACAGGCCTCCAAACAAAAAAACACTCGTAAAATGCTAAATTATAATCTAGATTTAACATTGTGTATACCCGCAATATGATTATTGCGAATGATCACATAGCGTTATCGATTCTGAAGCGATACATTGTACAAGCCTAGACTGCATATAAACATTCTTCTACAACTTCTACAAATTTATGCAAATTATTCTAATTTATCAAAATGTTAAATGGCAACAATTTACTACTAGATTGTATCTAAATAAGACTGTAATAAATGTCAAATGGTGTTGGTGCAATCTATTGCAAATGTTTATGAAATGTTATTAAAAATCTGAATCTCTTTATTACTTTTAGGATGTTTTTTTATCTATTTCATTGGCTTTTTACTCCCATCTAATATTTCTCAGGTCAAATTAAACAAGCAAAAGGTGTATGTAAACAATCTTATGTCTCTTTGTTGCGGCATTGAATAATTGTATAATCTGTTTTTCCTGCATTTTGTGTTCTGACATGCTGCTTTACCACCTACATGTTCAATCAACTTCAAGCTAACTTATAAATAAAGATTACAAAAATATTGATAAAATTGTAATCAGGGCTTAACAATATATCGCAAAATTATCCTTATTATGATAGTATGTGCAATATACTCTCAGACAAGTGTGATTTGAGTTGGATT